CTTTTGCAGCGGTTTGTGATGGCTCACTAGGAAGGCTCCACGATCGTTTCCGTACCTCGTTGTTGTACACAGTCCAATTTTCGTCTTCCGTACTCATGCGTTTCAGAAACATTTTTATTTCATTTGAGCTCGCAAATTTCGTGAGGCATCCAAACATCAAGGCGTTTTACAAAACCAGGTTTTTGCAGATGATCATGGATGGTTGGTTTCGAAGCACTAAGACCTTGTCCTACTTCACGAGTAGTGACGTGCCGATTCGTTTCGGTTAACATTTTGATTTGGTCGTTTGAACTGATGATGGTCTCCCTGAGGATTGCCGGTCTTCAAATTCCAAAGGCAAATTCACTCTGTTTGGATTCCGCAAATAAGTCAAGGACTGTACGTTCCTCTAGAGCATTGTCTACTCAGACATCACAAATCTTCCTCGCGGCTGGAGGCGCATTCTAGGCCTTGCAGTAGAAGAAAAACTTCAGATGCCGAAAATGCGCGCAATGATTCTCAATTTTCACACGAGTTCCGTAGAAAAAAACTTCGACAAAAGTTGACAGAATTCCAACAGGAATATAGAGGAAGATCTATTCTTTAAGAAAACATAACTTCATGAGGTTGGGCCCTTGATCTTTTGTTCAACAGTTGTTAAATCCGGGTTGTCGAAAATCGGCGAACACTTTTCGGTCAACCCAATATATACGATAGCTCCCTGGCACAGCAATGGTGTTAGAGATGCCCTTGGTAACGACATCTCTTTTTGGCGCGTGCGTAAAAGCCAGATAGTTATTGACAAGTAAGTTGTGGTAGCTGCATCATTAGACTTAAGACAGCATATTAGCGCAAAAGATCCCATACTCCTTAGACAAGGGTGGAAAGGATTGCCTCATCAGACGATAAGATGTGGGTACAGACTAGTGAACCAACCAAATAAGTGAGAGTAGCGAAACCTGCTGTACCAAACGCAATTCAAGTTAGTTTCGAGCGACTCGCGCACAGAAAAGGATTGATATTGAGCAATCTAATATCACTGAACCACTGGCATTTCAGGAGCATTCCATGAGCGTTCATTTCAAAAACTGAAATCTCCTGAGGTTAGGTGAGTTGGTAGTGCAAGAGTAATTTAGTGGGTCTAACGCATCAATAAGCATTGCATTGTTTCTTCACGATAGGATGGCTGAAATTGGGAGTTTATGTTTAATTCATCTGAAGGCCCACAATAACTAAAAACAGTAGATTGGCAAGTTACCGTTACTGAAGTTATCGCTGATGGCTTGCCTATTGTTGTAAAGTGAGCACCTAGTGTGCAGTCAGGGCATCCTGTGAGCTTTGATTCTTCAAAGGCACGGTTCAAAGGATAAAAATGATTACTGAGTTCTCCCTTTGGCAATACTTAGAGGCCCCATGGGTGGTAGAAAGGTCCCTCTCGCTCCCAAAATCTCGATGGTTAGGGCATAGTGGAAGTCCTGTTGCTGCCTTGAGTGGCTTTCCCGCCTCTCGATCGATGTCACATCAGACGCGTGTAGAAGCAGATAAAGATTGCAAATATTCGTTGTAGGACCCACACACAATAAGTTGTTCGCCGAGCGATGATGCGATGTTTTCTCCCATTTTCTCCTCTCTTATTCTTTTTGCTGCCGCGATCCCTTTTTTAATTTACTACCCCAAGAGGCCGAAGAAGGTGAGCTTCTTTTTTGCTGTAACTAGGGTTTTTTGTTTACTTTAATCTTGTAGGCGGGTGAATTTTAGCTTAATGTAGTCAGTTATTTGCACCAGGACCCATAAGTACGCAATGACGCACTGTGCGTAGCTCGTCCAAACGCCCCACTTTTCTTCATTCTTCTGGTCTCATTCTCGCCCAGCCCTCTTTTTACGATTTTTTGAAGGCTTTTTTCACTTCGGAGACATCCGCGCAGTTCCTTCGCTTCCATCGCACTATTTTCCATCTTATCTTCCATTTTTCGTCATAATGTGGGTTATCCAAAATTATCGTGAACTGTGCTTTTAAAGCAACACTATTGGTTAATAATAAATCCTGCTACCACGTCTTGTAGCACCTTTGACTCGATTTGTAGGGCGATTTCTTCCTCATTCGCCCTACGAATAGAGTCAAAGATGTACAAGATGTGGTAGCAGAATTTAGTAATGACCAATAGTGTGACTTTAAAGAATCAAAGAGGGGCGTGGGTGTTTTTATACAGTCTACTATAATTCTAATGTATCTATTTTGAGTGAATCAATGGAAGCCATGGTGCCGAATAGCGCAAGGATAGTGAAAAGAGCGCGAAAATTGGCGGGTTCCAAAAGTATAAGGCTTTGAAAAGGTAGCAAAAAAGAGCTTCTCCGTCTGCTTCCACCGGGGTGTTTCTCACGTATATTATTCGTCTCGTTACGTGAATAGGGCAGTAATAGAAGACCGGCCTAACAGGGCAGTGTGCGTGTCGGTCACTGTGGGTTGTCACAAAATTTTTGAAACGAGTCATCTGAAAGTCATGAATGCCAACAGTTACGTGGCGAATTTCCACAGGACTGAGTCCTACTGCAACAGGTGAAAAACTTTCAGTGTTTGAGTTGGTGTGTAACACGCAACTGCAATTAGGGAGTCACGCGACAAAGTGGTTTATCCTTTGCAGTTGCGAAGCGCTCGCCTTCTAGTGAATAAGCAACTAACAGCTTGAAAATAGAGATACGTACCCCATAATGACGCCATCAGTCAGATCAGCCGATGATTTCACCAGATAGCAGTAGTCATCAACAAAACTCTGAAAACTGAATTTTATTTCCTCCAGGTCAAAATTGTAAACGTGTGGTCAAAATATTTTTGTAAGGCATAATCATAACCATTCCACTTTGAATTTTCGCTCTTCGACTTTTCTATTTCTTCTTTCTCTTCTCCATTCAACCCAAAAATGACGAGATTCCATGTAGACAATTTCGAAACCTTCCCACAACGAAAGTGAAAATTAAGTCAAAAAACAATAAAAATGATGCTTAATGTTCAACAACCCTTTTGAACAAAGTTAGTTCAAAATCTCTATCAAATCAAACATACCTTACAACGTTTGAAGGAAAGAAAATAAGTCTTATGACGAAGACTATCCGAAATACAAAGTTAGAGGTGGTTTTGAGTGCTCATGTCAAACTTTTCTTTCGAATGTTCCTGTTTACATGATCCAACAGTGGCTCTTCGTGACCGACAAAAAGAAGTCACAAGGCAAAAAAAACAATAGCGACTAGGACTTAAAGACAAGGGGTTGGGGACTGCTTGCTTCATGAAATATAGAACTTATATTTGTGATATTTTCTATCGGTCTCCATCACTCGGGGTCCCCATCACTCGGGATTCTCTCTCACTAAAGGATTTTTAGCCGGTTAGTGACGAGGCTACGTGGCGCGACTCCAGTTGGCGGATACAGTTAAGGGGCAAATCGCCAACCAAAAGTCAACGGTACTCGCTCAGCGACACAGGTGGATTCAGGGGATGAACTAATTGTTTCTGCTGATATACCGACATACCTACTGCATCCAAGCACACGAGTGGGGAGAGCCTGCGGGTGGTTGGTACCCTGCATATCGGCTCAGCCAAGAACTTACATTTGAGTGGCTGAGAAGTATTCAGCAGGCAGTTCGGACTCGCCATCCGTCCACTCTGGGATAACCTGGCTAGCTACACGAAGTCCACCACGACTTGGCAAACTACTCGTGGGTACCCATATAACAAAAACAGTTATATAAATAGGCCTCAACGCCTGAATGTGAGAGCCTCCTATAAGGCAGCGTTGGCTGGAACCTCTCTGCTTAAATCGTAATGCCAGAACAGGCTGTCCGAACGAGGGCTAAGATGACGAACTGTACTTTCAGCGCACGAACGCTTCCATCAGAAGCGAGCGTGTATCGAAGGTCCTTCGATGCAAACTAGGAAGACCAAGTACGACGTCATCAGATTGACCGAGACGAGAAGGCATCGCTATTGCACGCCATTTTCGAAACTGGGGAACTGCTCCTTGGAACATGCTACAGCAGAGGTGTCGGCGTTATTGGTGTCCTCGTCAACATGACTTGGCCATGAACATGGATTAGTAAGGAAGGTTGATAACCCGAATCGAATGTTTGCGGTTAAGAAGATGGAGCTCAACACCGGTTCTAACAACCCTCGTCGCGCACAAACAGCAAAATACGAAGAGGATCTGGGAGCGTTATAAATGGACCGGGAAAGGCTCTTGAGATAAAGTTGTCTCAAAACTGTCTAGTTAGAAGGGGTAACTGAACAGCCAGGGTGTTCCTACTGGATACATAAGGATCCTTTGTGAGTTTCACGACAAATTCACGACCAGCACTTCGCCATTTCATAAGGGAGTCATTGTAAACGTGGAGATAGGGTTTCGGCAGGGCGACACTGTTTTTTTCTATTTTCTTTTCTTTCATTTTTAGTACTTGATATTAGTATGTTCCCAAACTTTTTAGTGCCGTCCCCGAGCCTTTCCCCTACTTCCTCTTAGCGTTGATCCCGCGCCGTCGCAGAGTCCGCTGTTCTTGTCAGCCGTCTCCACTTCTTTCTATCTACGGCATCTCCAGCCGATATTTTAGCTTTGTCTAGGTCCTTATTGATCACGTCCCGCTGTCTCTTCCTTGGAGCGCTCGTGGTCGCTTACCCTGAGCTTCGAACTCCATTGCCTCCCTCAATGGACGATTCTGTGGTGTTCCCAAAACCATCGCAGGTGCCACTCTTTCATTTTCAGCTGGACTGTGGGGTTGTTTGTATAGGCGCCCTGACGCTTTCATCGATCCGATCCAGCCGCGTCCAAGCACAGGCCCACTGAGCATTCTCATTTCAGTATTTCAGCGGAGTGCACTTGTCTTTCATGGTTTTTTATTTAGGGCCAACATTCGCAGCCGTAGAGCATCGAGAGCCTTAATACTGTCCGACACAATTTCCCTTCAAGATTCTTGGAGCACCGACGGTCGCAGAGAATATAGGCGAACCCCCCCCCNCCCCCCCCCCCCCACTTCATTTATGCCGCGTTTATTTGGGCTTTTACGGTTTGGTCCATGCTACCATCATCGACCAGAACACTCCCTAGGTATCGGAAAACCTGAACCTTTTCGATGGCTTCTTCGGCACGGCCTACGATTGTCTCCGTGCACTCTCCAGAACTGAGCAATTCAGTCTTCTCCACGTTCAGAAGCCCATTCTCTGCCAGCACTTTCTGCCATCTCTGCAGCTTGTCCTGGAGTTCTTCTCTGCTCTCGGCTATCAGACCGATATCATCAGCGTAGAAAATGGTCAATACATGAGTTTTTTGTGATGGCATCCATTGTAGCCAAAAACAGGCCCAAAACTGATCCCTTGTGTTCCCCAAGAGCAAGATCTGTTGCTCCGGTTTGGCCATGTGGAGTGCGTATTGTTGTCGTGGACCCATCGTACATGTCTTTGAACTGGAGACCAAGTCGCTCGTACGTAGGCAGGGTATGAGCAGTCACTCTGAAACTCAGGTAGTTGGAACGCTCCATCGCGTCCCCCCCCCCCTCCCCTTGAAGATTGGCGATAGTGCTCCTCCTCCATGCATCTGGGATTCTTCCTTTAGCGGTCACAGTATTTAGGAATCGGGTGAGCCACTTTATCCTTTCCGAGCGTCTTCCATGCCTCTATCGTTACTCCATCCGAATCAATTGCTTTCCAACCTTCATTATTTCTATTGCTTTTTTTCCATTTTCCTTTTGCTCCACGCGATTCATCCCCTGTCTAGAGTTTGACAGGGCCAAGGAGCTGTTCTTCGGGAGAATCCTTCGTTTAGCAGTCTGTCGAAGAATTCCTTTCATCTACGCCTGAGCTCACCAGGTTCCTTAGGAATGCGCTCTCGCTGTTCCTCACGGGCTTCGCTAGCCCGATGTATTGTGTAGCCCAGTGACGCGCTTCCGCCAGCCAAAAGATGAGCTTCTCTTCTTCTCGACTATCGAGTCTCTCATACAGGCACCCATTTTCGTATATTTTGCCTTTGCTATAGCAGCCTAGCTTATGCTATGGCGAGCCTTGTGGAAGCTCTGTAGGCGGCTAGGTCTTCTGGAGCTCATGTCCTTCGCTAGCGATAGGCCGATTTCTTCTGCCTCACGACTCGCCAGACTTTATTCCGGAACCATGCCTCCTTGCCCTTCGAAATTCACCTCGAGTTTCTTCCGGTGTTTCCCTTGCACATCGCAGGATGGCCATCACGTGGTTGCTCCATGTCTACTGGATTGGCCCCTCGTGATCTGAAACCAACAGTGTCTTGTCGTTGAGGCGTCCTCTTCCGGATCGATGCAGCTTCCAATAACCAATCCTCCGTTCCGTTCTCGCCCTTGTTTTTTGAGAATATTGATGGCTATACCTGCTTAGGAGGCCTCAGATCTTATCGAGGAAATACTTTTATATCCTTCACAGTTTTGAAGGATGAAGTTCTCACGAGTATGTGGTCTATTTCTCTATCCTTCCCTACCTTCTGCTGCTTCTTTCCTCTAGTTTCCCTTCTCGCGAAGGTGTTGCATACTAGCAAGTCGTGGGCTGTGGCCAGGTCAAAAACACTTTTATCTTCTTTGCTCCTCATTCCTATTTCCCTTACCTCCATGGATCTTCTCAGAGCTCTTTCGTTCATCTCTAACGTGGCCATTAAGATAACCCGCTATCGTGAAATAGTCCCATTCTAGAACTGATCAGATAGCCTCGTAGAGGCTCAGATATAACCCATCTTTTTCGAAGACGGGGCAGCCAGCTTGTGAAGCGTACAAGGATATTAATTTCCAGTACCCCTCCGTGTCTTTCCTCATAGCCATGATTCGACTGCTGATCCTGTTGACGGCGGAAGCAGTCTTCGTGGTACCCAGCCACCAAATGGCTACACCATTTGGTGTCTTATCTGTTGTAGAACAGTTTGACACACTCCAATTTTTATGGCCTTTGCTCCTTTCCAGCGGGTCCTCTGAAGACATAGGACTCGGATTTATTGCGCTTCATAAGATCAGCGATCAGCGGTCGACACGTCATGCGATATCGTGATGAACATTGCACTAGGGGGCTACTGATTGAATTTCTCTGAATGTCAAACGAATATTAGAAAGGACGCCAGAGCGATGGCCAGGCCACCTCAAGATAGCCGTGAACGAAAGAAAGACTATACCTCGTGACCCCTGAGTGAGGACGCTCCGCTTGACCACTCTGCTCGCGACAGGGACTAATGGTGAATGGAGTCGAAGAGAGTTGTGTGATACCTTTTTCTATGTGCAAAAACACTTCCACGATAAACGTGTAGGCGAAATGATCTGCGAAGAGATCCAGTTCAGATCCAAACCAATTGCATCGTATTGGGGGACTCATACGTGGCTGCGGAAAAGCAGCTATGTACATGGTACTGATCTTTGAAACGAACCCACGAAATAAATTTCAAGACAAAACTTTTCTCTGTTGCACTCTTTCGTACAAAATCCTACGATATGCAGAGTTTTATGTAAAACTTCTCGCTAATTTTGGCATTTAAAATTTATGTTAGACCCATGCTTGAATATGGTACATGCTTTTTCTCTCCCAATAATGTTTCGGTGGACCGGATTGAGAGAGTGCAAATAGTTCCACTAGGAAGGTGTCCCCTGTTCTTCAGGTTTCACTTACCGCAGCATTTAGAGCAGTATCATAAGGAACTCAGTGCTTAATTTAGACTCTCTTAAGCTCAGACAACGAAAGAATGATCCCTTCATGCTTTTAGATTCTCGATGGCTTAGTTGATCTTAAATCTGTGGATTACTTTAAATTATATCGGTCCTCAAAAGGGGTCAATCACTCAAAAATTTTCATCGTCGACCATGTTCTTCCATGAGCAGCAACTTCTCCACCTTTTGGACCGAGTATAATCTCTAAAAAATTAGCAAAAGAATGCCGCGTCGAGTTCTCTTACTGGTTTCGGAAAACTGCTAGATCGTTATCTTTGTTTTGCTGATTAATTCTTTGTTACTCGTAAGCTGGTATTCGCGCTGTACTTTTCGCATGCCTCTAGCTGTTCGTCCCCTATTGCTTTCTTAAGGTTTATTCTCTCTGTTGTTTTGCTCCGTTACAAGTGTGTTAGCATGTAATAAATTTGAATTTGCCTAGATGGAAGTGGAAAAGAGAAGAAGCCAAAAAAGCTCCATCTGACACTTCAACTTTGAGTTGGTCACAAATGTGAGATTGCAAATGAAATTCGTTCACTTTTTTCTCTTGAAAAAGTACAAATATATACCTATGGTATGTACCACGTCAACCGCCCGAACTTCTGGAACAGGCTTTAGAAAAAATCATCCTACTTACTGTAAAGCGCCTAGTCTGTCTGTCTGTCTGTGTCTGTTGTATGTATGTTACGAAATTCCTTAGCTCCTTAAGATGTGCCTGAAAATACCTTGTCAAGAGTGGGATGGGTGGGCCATGTCCCGGGAATTTAAAGCACACGTCAGCTTGGCGGAGGCCCGCCCACAGCGGGCGTGACGTGCATCGAAACTGAGCTGTACTGAGAACCATGATTTCAGACTCAGTCACAAGACGGCTTTAAAACTGGGGTTTAAAGGTGGCTAGAGGTGTGCATTGGTAAGTTAGTTCGAACTGGGAAGACCCACCCCCGTGGGCGGGACGTTCTCCGAAAATGCAATGTTTTATGAAAACATTTATAACTCGGTTCGGAGAAAGCCAACAGAGCGGAAAAAAGTTGATGTAGGAGAAGCACTGTCGAAGGTGTCTCCGGCATAAGTAAGGTCAGCGAAGGCCCGCCGACAATGGGCGGAGCGCACATAGTTTCTTACATTTAATACGAAGATTCATAACCCCGGTTCCCATGGACCTAGAGAGTTCAATTTTGATAGAAGTACATCCGGCACGATGGGAACACCCATGGTGGGTGGCAGAACCAGACTCCGCCCACAGGGGGCGGGGTTTGAGCAGAAACTCATAAATCCGATGGTCTACAATGAAAATCAGCTCATGGGCTAGGGGCTCCGGCCCTCATGCTAGAGCCCCTAGCGCACGTGATAGCGTGCGTGGCCACCTGCTCTTCAAATATCCCAGTTACCTTCCGAACAGCTCAATAGTTCCGCCGGTACAGTTTAGTTCCACTGAGAAAGTCAAGCCTACTTTTGCAACTAAACTCGCGTGTTACAAGAATTGAACTGGCAGGGAATGTTACAGTCTCGACCATTACTGAGAAGCACAAAAATATGCTTTTCAACGAAATTAAATGATCACTCATTATCGAACTTACATTGATGCCAGAAATTGTGCATTATCTCACGTATGCTCAAGTGAATTATTATCAGTGCCTGTCGTCCAGCATGACCATTTTTTGAATTTTGAAATGGGGATTTTTTAAAAATTTCTCCAAAGAACAATATTAGAACCTTGAAAATGTGAAATATTCGCCTTACAAAACCCAAAAACGAATAATGGTGTTGGAATGGAATGATAGCCGCGATATCCTCTACAAAGAATGGAGACAACCTTAGAAGAAACATGGAACAGTCCTAGTGAACGACTACAACACTATAAACGGTTTTGTTGATCAATCGGACCGAATGGCCTCGCATACCCTGCTCGCAAGAAAGATATGATGGAAAAGGACTTTCGTCCATTTGTTCACCCAAACCACTATTCTCAATGCCTGGAAGCTGCGCAAGGACTTAACAGGGGAAGCAAAAATCAACGGACTCAAGAAAAATATTGTTGAGTCACTATTGGCAGCCAACGTCTGTTTTTCTATTTCTACTCCGTCAATGAGGCATAATCCGAAGGAAGTGATGGGTCCTAAGGCCAAAACAAAAGGTGCTCGAAGGACTATTCAAATTTCAGCAAATCACATACGATTTATCAAACACGAGAAGAGTGGATTCTCGTTGCAGAAAATAACACCGTTATTTTTGTATTATTTGTTTATAAATCACACAAAACTTGTTTTTCGTGATTGACTTTTGTTTTGTTATCATAGTATGTTTAATGTACTGTAGCATGTTTTGGTTAATGTTATTATCTTAGAAAATGCAAAATTAGAAGATTTTCTGGGATCACGCAATGTTTCAACTTCAGTTAGATCTGGTTCAATATTCTGAGAAGAAAGATTGTCAAAAAGTGGAAATGTAGATAAATAAAATGAAAAATGCTATTGGAGACCACTTGTGCACTACACAGCCCAGCTCGACCAATAAAGTGTAGTCCGTATGTGGACCACATTGTCGTCAGTGGGTGAAAACACTGACTTAGACATCGGTTGAACACCTCAAGACATCATATAGGGTACAATCCACTAAAAAGCTCCTACGATCATGAATGGAAGTCGTGAACGGCTGTCTCGCAAAAGAGAGAACCCAATAGTCTTTTGTCTTCAAGCGTTTTCAAAAATTCAAAATCGAAACGCTTGCTTTGAGATTCCGGCTTGAACAAGCCAAACCGTTGAGGATAGCTTTCACACAGCAACAAACAAAATAAATGGGATGACTGTAGGTTTACAACTGACCTGCTTATATGTAGGCTTGAAACCGATTTTTGCGAAGGCCCTTTTCAATGAAACTCCACCCCCAGACAACACTTCTCGACTCAGTTCTGCGAAAACATCATCCAAACACTGAAGTGGTTGGTAATCATCCGAGTATTGAGCTAGGGCTACCACACACCTTGAATGCCGAGTTCTTTGTAAACATTCGAGGATTGTGCTTGATGATTGAAGCAGCCTTTGCCGTTTCAACAAAGTAACAAAATAGAGCGGTCTGAACCAAGAAGTGAGAGTTGACCGCTTCCTTGCCTCTCTCAGTTAGCATCCGCCTAGGAGATGGTAATCTATCCGTATCTCAAGAGTCATGAGAACGAAATTCATAGCAGGGCATTTAGGTTGGAAATAACAAGCTAATGTTCAACTCACTTGTGATTGCCATATGCATAATTTTGGTTCCGCAAAATCTTAGGATCTGCGAATACCCGCTGGATGATAAAGCGGCTAATGACATGGATAAACTTTTCATTTTCATTCACATCGATCGAAGTGTGAAACACTTAATGAAAGAGTTGAAAAAAAGTAACGAACAGTAAACGTAGCTTCTTACCAGTTTCCAGTCCAAGATGTAGCCACGCCGGATGGAATGAGAGGAAAAGACGTAAAAGTGTCATTTGGAGGGCTAAAAACGGAAATCACTTTGAGGAAAGAGTGTAATATTGAGTTCTGCACCATCAAAATTCGATATTAGACAGGAAGGCGAGAAAGAAGATCAGAGAGCATATGTTCGAACGGTATATAAGAAATTAATATTAAATACAACATAACATGAGGCATTTTGTGATAAGACATCCAAACCCCGTGTTCTACTTTAAGATTGCATTGTCTCTACTATACATAATCCACAAGTTTGGTGTGTCTGTTTGTTTGTATGTACGTATGTATGTATGTTTGTTTGTCTGTCTGTCACACAATCCAGTTTTACCTGAAAAACACCTTTAGAGGTCGGGACAAGTTTGGGATGGGTGGAGCCCAAGACAGGATTAATAGAGCACATACGAGCTCTGCGGAGCTCCGCCCACCGGGGGAGGAGCAAGTGCCGGAATGGGCGGTGCCAACAGTCAAACATCTTATTTATGCTTCGAAAAAGTCCAGACACCGGGGAAAAATGTTCAAAGGTGAGGATTGGGTCAACAAACCAGACGGAGGAGACCCACATGCTGTGGGCGGAGCTTTCTCAAAATGGGCGGTACTTTTCAGATGTATTCATCACTCGATTCAATTAAGGCGCAGAGGCTATAAAAAAAATAAAAAGAGTGAGCAGGGCCTTCTGCGCGCTACGCGTGCGTAAGCTCAGAGAAGCCCCGCCCACGATGGGCGGAGCGTGCGTTGAGACGAAAGCCACTTTTCAAAAACGAATGCAACTTTGCTTGGAAACGTCTAGAATGTGGGAAAGCAGAGGTTGGAGGTAGTGGAACAAATGCGGCCAAATCCTTGAAGTGGGCGGGGTTGGCACCAAAGTGGGCGGGCTCATACAAAAATTATAGCTCCATTCAGCTTTCTGGGATGCGGCAAAAAGGTGTTAAG